CGTACTCCACCCCGCTGGACCTCCCAAAAACCCACGCAAGTGTCTACAATTGCGCGGTTCGCAGCCACCCAAAGAACCGTGAGGTCTCGTCTGGATGCGCGTACACCTCCACTCCGCTGGCCCTCCAGGAGCGCACCACATGGCTCCCGTCCCAGCCCTCCCAGGAGCCCACAAAAGTGGCGACGGTTGAGCAGTTCGTAACTTTCCAGGGAGCCGCAAGGTCTGGTCTGGACGCGCGTACACCTCAACTCCGCTGGACCTCCAGGAGCCCACGAAAGCAGCGACACTTGCGAGTGCACAGCTTCCCAGTGAGCCGACAGGTCTCGTCTGGATGCGCGTACACCTCCGCCCCGCTGGACCTCCCAGGAGCCCACGAAAGTGGCGACAGTTGCGCAGTTCGCAGCCTCCCAGGGAGCAGCGCAGGAGGAGGCAAGAAGAGAGGGAGGAGACGGAGGCGTGGATATCGCATTGCTCTATTCAAAACGAAAGCTCAACACAGGAGGGTTGGGAACAAACAGCAAACAGTCTGCCAGAATTACTGAATGTCTGCGGGCGCGCGCTTCCTCATCACCTCAGCAGCGCCATCGCATCACCGCTGTTCTCGTCATCGCCCATCGCCGCAATTGCCGCCACCATCATCACAACCACCTTCATCACCGTCACGTCGACAACAATATCATCGTCGTCGTCGTCACCAACGTCGGCGCCTTCATGGGCCTTGCCGTCGTCACCGTCATCACCGCCACCACCGCCGCTAATATCGTCATCACTGCCGCCTTTGGACGTCCTCATGATCTCGCGCCCGCCCGGGTAACCAACGCGCGCTGAAGTGTCTGCGCGACAACGCGGCTTTGGAGACGCGCTGGGAAATTTCCATTGGTAACCGCCATCGCGTCCGCATCCGTTACGCTAAACCAACTGGTCGCTCTGCGCCCGAGCGTGCGCGCGCCAGCGCGGCCGCAAAAACGCGATAACAAACTTCAATCGGAAACCGCAATCGTGGCCGGGCCGAGTGGGGTTTGCCTACCATGTTGCGGGTGGGAGGGCGGGATGTTTGCGCGAGCATCGGAATTGACGACTCCAAGCGCTTCATGGTGGATTGCACCACAAGGCTTGTACTACATATGCTCTCATAAACAAGAATTCGGGTCTACCCCCTCCCGAAGCTGAAATTAATTGTCCCTTCCACGATTTGTTTGTTTATATTATGCACGATCGTCCATCCCAGATACCAATGTAGAATGGAGGCTTAGATAATGAGCCCATAACGAAAAACCTGGAGGCTCGAAAGATGAGCACTCCCAATGTTTCAAAGGAGTTGAACGTCCGAGACTCTTGGAAGTACAAAACTAAATCGACAAATCGTATGTACTTGCTGATTGTCAGGAATCATCAAAATAACTCAATGGCAATACTACTCTTACTTATCATGCGAGGGTGACCTGCGTTCTCGCCTCTCATTCGGCCGCCGGCGCCCTGAAAGCGGAACAACACATATGCTGCATCGTGCCGTGGTGTTTTTGCGTCCGTTTCGGCCGACGGCGCCCGTAAGGCGGAAACAACGTACTTTGATTGTCTTGAGTTGTTCCCGCTGCTGTTTCGGCCGCCGGCGCCCTCAAGGCGAAACAAGTACAACAAAGTATTCTGCCGTGGTGCTCCCGCTGCTGTTTTGGCAGCTGGCGCCCTGAAGGCGAGCCCTGGTCGGACTCTGGACCCCAGCTGGCCAAGGCCCAGCGCTCGTGTCTGGGCCCCGGCTGGCTGGGTCCCGGCGCGCGTCTGGGCTGCAGTGGGCCCTGGCCGACCAGGGCCGGCCAGGGTCCGGCGCGCGCGTCTGGACCCCGGCCGCCTGCGGATTGCTGAGAAGTAATCTGGTGGTCTGGCCGCGCCGCTGCCTGCTCAGCTAAGGCACGCTGCCCGCACAGGCGCGCTCAGGCACGCACCCTCAGCAATGCTTCCAAGACGGGCCTCTGGAAATTGTCTAGACCTGACGCTGGCCTGGCAGACCTTATGTAAGGAGTGGCCTGGTGGCTCGCTGGAAAACATATTTCCTCATGCGATAACTCGACCACGATGGCATGCCAGCCAGGCCCGTATCGCCCCCCCCCCCCCCCCGCCATTTCCTACAAACCATATTTTGCGGTGCACATGCGTTGATTTTGGAAGCGCTCCTGCGAATATCCCTTTGCAGCACATGCGTTACGGGGCGCATGCGCGCGCCGCCGCGCGCACGTCAGAGTCCGCCCAAAACCATTGAAACAATATCGTGACATGTATATGCAAAGACTATCAACAATCATTGGTTCTTCGACGCGGAAGTGGAAACATCGGCGCGCGCGCACTCGCTGAAATCTTACGACAACCAGACAGGGCTTGGGTCAGTCTGTCAAATCAGACCATGCGGGCCACTTACGCGAACACGTCACACATGTTCAGCCATCATCGCGCGACCACCAGCTCTATCAGATAATACCATGCGGGCCGCACGCACGCGTCTCCGCGCGCGCATGTCGAGATCGTTCCAAACCATTATTGTTCAAAACGTAGGAAAAAAACAAGCAGGTTCTCAAGACCAGCATGTCAACCATCACCACCATCGTCGAGATCATCGACGGCGCCGTCATCGTCGTCGTCGTCGACGTCGTAGTCGTCGTCGTCGTCGTCGATGTCGTCACCTTCGTAATTTTTCTGCGCGAAGGCACCTCCCCATCACCATGATAACCAGCACCATCGCCATCATCGCCAGCGTCATCGACGCCACCATCATTATCATCAGCACCAACATCATCACCATCACCATCGTCGTCGTCGACATCGTATCGTCCCCACCTCCACTTTCTTTGTCGTCGGCATCAGCGTCATCATCACTGTCATCTCCACCATGATTGACGTCGCTGTCGTCGCCATTGCCACCACCGTTTTGCGACCTGCAGAACGGAGGTGTCTGCGCGGTTGAGTTATCCGCGCCCGTGCGCTCGTCGAGATCATGGACACTTGAGTTCTGCCGAGAAGTTGCGGGCGGGGGCGGATAGATGTTTTTCGAGCGCTGCAGTTGACGACTTCAAACTCTTCACGCTGAAGTGCACCACGTGAAGTGAATGCAGAATGAAGCACACAAGGTGCACCACGTATATTCCTTTTTTCAAGAAGAACAATTAAAGTCTACCTCGTCACCATGGGCATCGTGTGCGTTCGCCCTCGGAATACTTATTAAGTGTATTGTGCACACTCGTGAGCCCTAAATATCACATAGTACCATCTCTGGCCAAGTCGTATCCCTCCCTCCTCTTCATCCCATGCAACAGAAACAATGCGGTGCATACACCGCCGTGACATTAGTTTGGCCCATGTATCTTGCCACGGTGAATGAGGGCGAGAGCGTCGCAAGACTTGCGATGCCCCCCCCTCCCCCGTAGACTCCTACACCAAGACAACAAAACGCAGCGGTGGCGCAGCCGCGGCGGAAGAGAAAATTCTTCCACTGATATTAATTAACAATAATTGTTCATTCCAAGGGATTAATTCTTCCGCGTATTTTTTTGACGCATGGAAAATGCTTCCGCGCCGGCGCGAGGGAACTCCACTGGGAACGGCAAATGGGCCTAAACTTTCGCCCCGCCGGACTATGCGTTGATCTAAAATATGCGTTTTGTAACAATCCCTAACACACAATATCATTGGGGCTACATGCGCGCGCATGGCAACATCATTACAAAACCAGTGTCTCCGACCCGCACGTGTGTGTATATATATATATGTGTATGTGTGACAATGACTGCAAGAATTATCAAACCAAGTGTGCTTTTCCAGCGGCCCTAGGAGACTATTGTTTTGTTGGCCATTGTGTCACATGAAAGCATTCGGACCGCGTGCTCGCGCATGCCGAAAATGTCCAAGAGTCCTCGCGCACCCGCCAACCCAACCAAGGGACAACATGCGGGCAACACGCACGCCTCTCCGCACGCGCACGTCGAACTCATTAAATACCATTGGGGTTCGAAGGGCTTCAAGACCGTTCAATCAAAGACGAGCACCGGATATTTCCCCACCAAAAAAACAGGAATGAATTATAGATTTGTGTGCTCATTGACTCCATGATCGTCCTCATCAACAATTTGTTTCTCATAATCGCGTCGTTGGCATCGTCATCATTGTCATCATCGTCATCATTGTCGTCATCGTCACCACCGCCGTTATCACAGCCTTCGTCGATATCGTCGCCCTCGTCATCATCGACACCGCCACATCACCATCCCAGCACCATCAACATCACCATCACCATCACCATCATAATCATCATCATCACCATCATTAACATCATAATCACCATCATCATCATCAACATCATCATCACCACCATCACCACCATCATCATCATCATCGTCGTCGTCGTCGTCGTCGTCGTCCCCATCATCCCTCGCCTGCCCGAGTCATGGATCGGTATGAGCAGGGTCTGCGCATCAATGTGCCGCTTGAGATGCGCGGGCAAGATTGGATAAGTAACTGTGCTCACGGCCAAAGTTAAGTTTTGCCAACGAGTTGTGGCTGGATGGGTTGGGTTTAGGCTCGAGCACGGGATGTGGTCACGCGCGGTGCAGATAACATTGAAGGCGTGCCACATAGATTGCCTTACATAGACTGCCCCCTTCAGACTGCCCCCATTCTAATTTGCACGACATGAAATACAGATCGAGAATGCAAGAACACCGTGCTAGGGGTCCACGCTGGCAAACACGAAGTGGCTAAATATCGAGTGGGCGACAGCGCCAGCGTGTAAGTATCACGCACTTTTCGGGGCCGCTCTGGTCGCGCCACAAGGGAATGATCAGGGTAGGTGGGCGGTTTAAGTTTAGAGTGGTTCTAGCTGCTCGAACATACTCCCACCTTCCAAAGGCCAGAGCAAAACAGAGAACGAATGACAAACCGCTCTATTGCTTACAGGAGGTGGGTCGGAGTTCAGAGATGGAAACTCTCTCTATCAAATGGTTTTGCACCCTTGCCGCCTGTGAGTAGAGGATGTCGACCTTGTCCGCTCCGCCTCTCGCACCGAAGCGGAAGCCATTGGCGTGCGCCTCGAGGGTGCCCACGCAACGCCTCCCGGTGCCTCAGCGTGCAAAGCATAGGGAACGTCGCGGGACGCCGAAGAAACGTCGAACTCTTCTGCTCACCCGTGCAAGCGTATCGAAGCAGGGTCGGCCGTTGGGGTGAGGCATCTGTCTCACCCCAACAGCCGACCCTCCTCCTCCTCCTCCTCCTCCTCCTCCTCCTCCTCCTCCTCCTCCGACCTGGCTGTCTCACCTCACCAGTGTCATCTCCGCCTGGACCGGGGGAGCAACAACAAGATCTACGACGCGCCGTCGTGGGGAACCCATTGTCGTGCTACCGTTGAAGAGGCACCAAGCTCTCGGACAACAACGTTCGAGGAACATGCCGACGGGCTCCCAATGCCGGCGTGCCATTGAAACTCCCTCCCCTCCCGAAAGGCAATGCCTTTGGCGGTCGCGAACATGAAATCTATATGCGAGGCGAGACTTGGATTCGTGTAGAGTGCAAGGTCTGCATGCCCAACTGAATGGATCACGCGCGCAAGCCCCGTGCCCGACCGTCCCACCACCCCTTGGTATGAACCCGTGGTTGGTCTGTCAGCCATGGCTGCGTGCTGCCGTGGGCCCTGAAGTTACCAGGTGTGGACGGAAGCGGGACACTGGCAGCAGCGAGCCTCTCAGTGTATGCCCTTCCAGTTGTTAGCGCACGTCGACGCTCGAGAGTACCGACCTCGCGGTCCTCATGCTTGCGGGATGCAACTGTGCGGTTTTCATGCCAGTGAACTGCAACTTTGTAGCTCTCTAGGACATGATCGTCAACTTGGCGATCCTAATGCTGGTGAAGCGCCTCGTGGTCCTCACGCGGAGGTCATTCGTAGCAGCTGTGCAGCCCTGGCGCGGGCAGTGGCAGCCCCGCTGTTGTTACTGTCGTGACAGGGCATCTTTGCAGTCTTCGCGCGTGCGAGTGTCGAGTCCATGGCCCTCGCGCTTCTGGGAACCAACTTCGTGACCTTCACGCTCTTCACGAGCGTAGATCGCAGCGCCGCGGCCATCCCTCCCGTGCACGAATATCTCGCGGTTCCCGCGTACCGTGCAGTTGCACCGGACCCTCCCCTGCGGGGTGGTGACACCCACCAGGTCGTCATCTTCGCGGTCCCGTACTCTGTTTCGTCCTCGAGCCCGTGCTGCCTTGCTGGACTTGCCCTCCAGTCGCCAAGGGCTGGCACATCCGCGCGGCGGAATGCAACAACACGTAGCTGTGCCTACCCATCGGGCGACCGTAGCAAGCGCACCGCGCGGTTGCGGCTCACCGCTGGAACCCAAAGTCACATGTCTGCGTTCTTAGTCGTTGTTCTTGACTGCTCGGCCTCGACATCGCAGCAGTAGTCCTTCACCGTGCCCCCTGGAACGTTGACGCGTGGTAGAATGTCAGGGGCTATCTGGTCGGGTTTCTGTCACCTTCGAGAGCCCCCTCCTTCCTCTCACCACACTCAGGGGCAAACATCACCACCACCACCCCCGCCCTTTTCAGTTTATGAGAACTATTGGAACCGCGCTCTCGAGGCCACGACCACCATTTAAATAAACAGATCGATCCGCGCCCTAAATACCAAGACCCACAATAAAAAATTACCCTGTGACGTACCCGACCCATTTGTATCAATGGAAACGAGGAGTTGACCGAAACTTGTATAGACAATCAACTTGATGTGTAAGCTACTTGGGAGGCGTCACTGTGCTGGGCCCCGCAAGCAGGCCTCGAAAGTGGCGACAGTTTCACATATCGCAGGTCACCAGGGATGGCGAGGTCGAATTTGAATCTGCGTGTGGCGTCACTGTGCTGGGCCCCCCAGCAGGCCGCGAAAATGGCGACAGTTTCACAGATCGCAGCCCCCCAGGGATGGCGAGGTCCCATTTGAATTCGCTGTGGGTACCCACTGTGCTGGGCCCCCCAGCAGGCCTCGAAAGTGGCGACGGTTTCACAGATCGCAGCCCCCCAGGGATGGCGAGGTCCCATTTGAGTCCGCCGTGGGTATCCACTCTGCTGGGCCCCCCAGCAGCCCTCGAAAGTGGCGACAGTTTCACAGATCGCAGCCCCCCCAAGGATGGCGAGGTCCCATTTGAGTCCGCCGTGGGTATCCACTGTGCTGGGCCCCCCAGCAGGCAGCGAAAGTGGCGACAGTTTCACAGATCGCACCCCCCAGGGATGGCGAGGTCCCATTGGAGTCCGCCGTGGGTATCCACTGTGCTGGGCCCCCCAGCAGACAGCGAAAGTGGCGACAGTTTCACAGATCGCACCCCCCAGGGATGGCGAGGTCCCATTGGGGTCCGCCGTGGGTACCCACTGCGCTGGGCCCCCCAGCAGCCCTCGAAAGTGGCGACAGTTTCACAAATCGCAGCCCCCCAGGGATGGCGAGGCCCCATTTGAATCCGCCGTGTGTACCCACTGTGCTGGGCCACCCAGCAGGCCTCGAAAGTGGCGACAGTTTCACAGATCGCAGCCCCCCAGGGATGGCGAGGTCCAGGTTGAATCTGCCGTGCGTGCCCACTGTGCTGGGCCCCCCAGCAGGCCTCGAAAGTGGCGACAGTTTCACATATCGCAGCCCCCCAGGGATGGCGAGGTCCCATTTGAGTCCGCCGTGGGTATCCACTGTGCTGGGCCCCCCAGCAGCCCTCGAAAGTGGCGACAGTTTCACAGATCGCAGCCCCCCAAGGATGGCGAGATCCCATTTGAGTCCGCCGTGGGTACCCTTTGTGCTGGGCCCCCCAGCAGCCCTCGAAAGTGGCGACAGTTTCGCAGATCGCAGCCCCCCAGGGATGGCGAGGTCAAATTTGAGTCCGCCGTGTGTACCCACTGTGCTGGGCCCCCCAGCAAGCCTCGAAAGTGGCGACAGTTTCGCAGATCGCAGCCCCCCAGGGATGGCGAGGTTCAATTTGAATCCGCCGTGTGTACCCACTGTGCTGGGCCCCCCAGCAGCCTTCGAAAGTGGCGACAGTTTCGCAAACCGCAGCCCCCCAGGGATGGCGAGGTCTCATTTGAGTCCGCCGTGTGTACCCACTGTGCTGGGCCCCCCAGCAGGCCTCGAAAGTGGCGGCAGTTTCACAGATCGCAGCCCCCCAGGGATGGCGAGGTCCAATTTGAGTCCGCCGTGTGTGCCCACTGTGCTGGGCCCCCCAGCAGCCCTCGAAAGTGGCGACAAATTCGCAGATCGCAGCCCCCGAAGGATGGCGAGGTCCAATTTGAGTCCGCCGTGTGTACCCACTGTGCTGGGCCCCCCAGCAGGTCTCGAAAGTGGCGACAGTTTCACAGATCGCAGCCCCCCAGGGATGGCGATTTCCAATTTGAGTCCGCCGTGTGTACCCTCTGTGCTGGGCCCCCCAGCAGCCCTCGAAAGTGGCGACAATTTCACAGATCGCAGCCCCCCAGGGATGGCGAGGTCAAAGGCAGGGGGGAAGAGAAGGACGGGAGGGGGCGGGAAGGTTCGCGCGAGCAGTGCTCTATTCAGAACGAGAACCCAACGCAGGAGGGTTGGGAACAATGGATCCGCGCTCCCGAGGCCACGATCACTGGCCGCTCCGGAGGCCACGATCCTTTGTAAAAGGCAACGGGTTCGCGATCCCGCTCCTCAAGAAGTGCAGACGAAGGGTATCACATATGACGGCCGTCTTCTTCCTCCTCCTCCTCCTCCTCCTCATCATCATCATCATCAACATCATCATCATAAACATCATCGCCATCATCATGCTCTCCATCCCCCTCGCCTTCCACAATCCTCCTCCTCGTCTCCTCCTCCTCATTCCCTACCTAGGCTCTGCCTAGAAAGGTTCTTACTCTCTGGGCTCAAAAGGGCCGGGCACTGGGGCTCGCCCTGGGCGGCTCCCCCGGTATCCGCCCCGCGGTTCTCCCAGTTACGTCCCCTTAGCTTAGCGTTGCTTATCTCATCTTAGCTTAGCTTATTTCATCTTAGCTTAGCTTAGCTTCATCTTAGCTCATGTTTATCTTAGCTTAGCTTACCTTCATCTTAGCTTCGCTGAGTTTTAGCATAGCAGAGCACAGCACAGCACAGCGTAGCATAGCATAGCGCAGCACAGCATACCATAGCATAGCCCAGCATAGCATAGCATAGCATAGCGCAGCATAGCACAGCGTAGCATAGCATAGCATAGCAGAGCACAGCATGGCACAGCGCAGCATATCATAGCATATCATAGCATAGCGCAACTTAGCATGTCATAGCATAGCTTAGCATAGCACAGCGCAGCATGACATAGCATAACATAGCTTAGCATAGCATAGCATAGCGCAGCATAGCATAGCATAGCATAGCATATCATAGCATGGCATAGCAACTAATGCTGCTTTCCTAGGGGCTCCAACTTCTAGGTAGGGTCGCACTGGGGTAATCATGTTCATATTCATCTCCCGCTCCAGCTTGACGCGGAAGAGCATGTTACAGCTCTCCGAAGCCTCGGGAAACGAGGTGTCACGCGTTACGGCTTCCTGCCGATCGCCACCCAATGTGCTGGGCTGGGACGGTAGCTGGACTTGCCACAGGCAGCTGGATAGTAGTCATCATCATCTACACCATCATCATCACGATTACCATCATCTACCGACGGCGCTCACAGCGACAACAATCCGATCGTGCGATCCTTAGAGCAATCGCGAAAGACACACATTGACAACGGATAGCGAGCCCGACGACCACGATTGCTGATTGCACAGTCTGAAATTACCATGCGCTCCAAACAGCCAGATTCTACCAGAGATGATTGAACGTTTCAGACTAGCTGGGCATGACTGTCAAACACGCACATTGGCGAACCATGCTGATCGCATACAATGATATCAGCGGACGTGCATCGGGAATGTGGTATACCCTATTTCATTCCATGCTGCGATCTTGCCACCCACCACCCCACCAGCGGGAGAGAACGTGAAATAATGACTGCACTCGGCCGTTTTCGAAACTGCCTCGAAAAAGCAGGCTAGGCGCCGGGCTGAGACTTGGCCTCACGTGGAGGTCTCGCAAGCATGGCGGCGCGCGCAGACACTGCAGCGACCCGACTTCCGCCGTGGTGCTTCTACACTCGCCTTCAAGATCACGCTGTCGTGTCCTTCGGCAGTAACATTGGTCAGAAGCCTGAACTGCCCATGAACAAGGGTTCCAATGTGCGACCAGGCTAATGGACTGAATACGCGCTCAGGACGTGGACATGTTACTGGGCATCCAGAGAGCCTATAGCCCCGTGGGCGAAAGGTCGCCAGATCAAACAATGTGTTCTCATTGCAGATTCACTCGTCCTTGTTATCGATTTGTTTCGGGGCTCGGGGGGCCATGCGTACATGATCAATGATTTCATGTTGATTCTAAACAAGGCTTTTACTAGGAAGCCCGTGATCACAGTTCAAGTCCGTGGCTGCTCCTGGTCCTAAGTTCTGCACTTGTCGACTTTGTTCAAAAACGTTCAGACGTTGTTTATGGCCATTGATCCGCCGCCGTGCCTTGAAGTACGAAGTGGAGTGTCCTCAGGTCCCTGCGAGTTCTCTGTATTGATTCTCTGTGTTGAACACTGGAAATACTCTTGAAGTGGCAGACTTACCGAAGTCTTAGGCGCTTGCACGCTCTTGGGAGTCGGTCTCGTGAATTTCCCAAAAGCATGAGGGCCACCAGACGGGCCAACAGGGCCCCACGAGGCCCCTCTGGAGCCTTTGATCTTTTGGGTGAAAAGAAGACACCACGTAATTCCATTGCGCAGATTTACGGCGTTATATGCTACGAAGTTTGGCCACGTAATGTAAACACGCAATGTTTTTACGTAATGTATTTCCAGAATTCCCCATATCCAAAGAATGGGGTTATTGTCACATTCTCTGACCGAGCCGGACCTCTACACTTCCCCTCCCCTCCTCCCTCGGATTGTGGTGAGAGTATGATGTGTGTATGATGGTGATGGTGAATGATGGATGAGTATGATGATGATGACGACGATGACGATGACGATGACGATGACGATGACGATGACGATGACGATGATGATGATGATGATGATGATGATGAGCAGATGATGAGCAGATGATGATGATGCTGATGATGATAATGATGATGATGATGATGATGATGATGATGATGATGATGATGATGATAATGATGATGATGATGTCTCGAGCGGCTCGCTGGTTGTAGCCCACCTGAAGGGGACGGCCAGGGGTGTTGCACGGCCTCCGTTCGCGCCAAAATGGAGGGGATGTCTCGAGCGGTTTGCCTGTTAGCATGCTCAACATCCTCCGTTTTCGGAGCAGACTTTGAAGATGTCTGGTGCGAGGCGCCTCCTAAGGGGAGGCGCCCAAGGGTGTTGCACGGCCTCCGTTCGCGCCCAAATGGCGGGGATGTCTCGAGCGGTTTGCCGGTTTGCGTGCTCAGCATCCTCCGTTTTCGGAGCAGATGTTGAGGATGTCTCGAGCGAGGCGCTCGTTTTCGCCCCCCAGGGGGGCCAGATTCTGAGGATGTCTCGATCGGTTTGCCTGTTGTTGTTGTTGTTGCCAGACTCGTGGGCACATATTCTCCCCAAGATGCCACAGGAGGCTCCAGCAGGCTCCAGGAGGCCACGTGAGGTCCCAGGAGGCATCAGGAGGCCACCGGAAGACTCAAGAGGCCACAGGATGTCCCAAGAGGCTCCAGGAGGCCTCAGGAAGCTCGAGGAGGCATCAGGAAGCTCGCCCCAAAATCGCCCAATGTTTTTTCCAAGATGGCCCCAGAGCGGACCAAGGAGCCCCCAAGACTGCCCCAAGAGGACCCCAAGGCAGCCCAAGCGGCCCCCAAGAGGGCCTCCAGGAAGGCCCGAAGAGGCGAAAATTAGTAATTTTCTGTAGGTTCTGAAGGATTTTGGCGTTTGCTTCTTGTCGGCTTCCCGACGGCCCGAGACGGCCCAAGAGCACCTTAAGATCGCCCCAAGATCGCCCAAGAGGCCTCTAAGATGGCCCCGGAGCGGCCCAAAAGGCTCCCAAGACGGCCCCAAGCGGGCCCCAAGGCGGCCCAGAGAGAGGCTCCCAAGACGGCTTCCGACGGCGTCAGACGGGCCAGGAATGCCCTAAGACGGCCAAAGAGGCCCCCGAGAAGGCCTCAAAGGTGCCGACTCCTTGACTCAACGTTCCCGCCCGTTTTCTGCCGAATTCCGTTCCTCTTTCTCTCGTTATCTTTCCTCTCTTCTCCTCCCCCTTTCTCTTTCTCTTGACTCTCTCTCTCTCTCTTTCTCTCTCCTCCTCCCTCTCTCCTCCTCCCTCTCTTGACTCTCTCTCTCTCTCTCTCCTCCTCTCCTCTCCCTTCCTCTCTCTCTCTCCTCCTCCCTCTCCTCCTCCCTCTGTCTCTCTCCTCCCTCTCTTGACTCTCTCTCTCTCTCTCTTTCTCTCTCCTCCTCCTCTCCTCTCCTCCCATTCTATGTACCCCGCCCCGCCACAGAAGGAATCTATATGTAAATCCGCTTCCCCCGTGTCCACCTCCGCCTCCTACTCTTCCTCCTCCCCATCATCTTTCTCCTCCTACTCCACACAAGGAATCCATGTGGAGGCCCCTCCACATAAGGGATCGATATGTGAAGGGCCTTCCACATAAGGAATCAATGTGTGCAGGCTCCTTCACATAAGGAACTCATATATGAAGGCCCCTCCCACATAAGGATTCAACATGTTGGAGGCCCCTCCACACAAGATATCAGTATGAAGACCCCTTGCACATAAGGAATCAATATGCGGCGGTCCCTCCACGGACAAACTCAATATGTGGAGGCCCCTCCACATATCGAATCTATATTCGAAGGCCCATCCACATACGAAATCCATGTGGAGACCCCTTTGACCAAAGAAATGAATATGTGGAAGTCCTTCCACAGACGAAATCAACATGTGGAGGTCCCTTCCACATAAGGAATCAACATGTGGAGGACTCCCCCCCCACAAGAGGAATCAATATGCGCGAGGCCCCTTGCACATAAGGAAAAGATATGGAGGAGGCCCCTCCACAAAAGGAAACAATATTATCTTTCTCCTCCTCATCTTTCTCCTTCTACTCCTTCTGCTCCTTCTTATCCTCAACCCCTGCACCAGAGCGGGAGGAGGAGGGGGAGGAGCAGGAAGAGGAAAAGGAAATCGCCCGCCGCAAAAGAACTCAATTGGTGGAGGTCCCTCCACAAACGGAATCAACATGTGGAGGCCCCTCAACTTAAGGAATCGATAATTTGAATGCCCATCCACATAAGGAATCAATGTGTGCAGACCCCTTCCAACATAAGGAATTACCAAGTGGGAGGACCCTCATGAATATGTGGAGACTCCCCCACAAAAGGACACAATATCATCTTTCTCCTCCTCATCTTTCTCCTCATACTCCTTCTGATCCTTCTTCTCCTCAACCCCTGCGCCGGAGTGAGAGAAGCAGGGGGAGGAGGAGGAAAAGGAGATCGCCCGCCACAGAGCGGATCAATATGTGGAGGTCCCTCCACAGACGGAATCAATATGTGGAGGCCCCTCCACATAAGGAGTCGATATTAAAAGGCCCATCCACCTAAGGAATCCATATATGCAGGCCCCTTCACATAAGGAATCATTAGGTGAAGGCCCCTTCCACATAAGGAATGAACAAGTTGGAGGCCCCTCCTCCACTTAAGAAATCAATATGGAGATCCTTGCACGTAAAGAATCAACATGTGGAGGTCCCTCCACAGACGGAATCAACATGTGGAGATCCCTTCACAATAAGGAAACAATATGTGTAGGATCCCCCACAAGAGAAATCAGGCCCTTTCCACAGAAGGATTCAACGAGTGGGATGCCCCTCCACACAAGATATCATTATGGAGGCCCCTTGCACATATGGAATCATTATGTGGAGGTCCCTCCACAAATTGAATCAATATGTGGAGGCCCCTACACATAAGGAGTCGATGTTTGAAGGCCCTTCCACATAAGGAATCAATAGGTGCACGCCCCTTCACATCAAGAGATAATATGTGAAAGCCCCTTGCACATAAAGAATCTACAATTGGGGGACCCCTTCACATAAGAAATCAATACGGAGACCCCTTGCGCATAGGGAATTTATATGTGGAGGTCCCTCCACAAACGGAATCAACATGTGGAGGTCCCGTCCACATGAGGAATCAATATGTGGAGGATCCCCCGCAAAAGGAAACAATATCATCTTTCTCTTCCTCATTTTTCTCCTCCTACTCCTTCTGATCCTTATTCTCCTCAACCCCTGCGCCGGAGTGGGAGAAGGAGGGGGAGGATGAGCAGGAGGAAGAGGAGGAAAAGGAGATCGCCCGCCACAGAACGAACCGATATGTGAAGGTCCCTCCACAGACGGAATCAATATGTGGAGGCCCCTCCACATAAAGAGCCGATATTTGAAGGCCCATCCACATAAGGAATCAATATGTGCAGGCCCCTTCACATAAGGAGTTAATATGTGAAGGCCCCTTCCATATAAAGAATCAACAAGTGGGAGTCCCCTCCACATAAGAAATCAAGATGGAGATCCTTGCGAATAAAAAAACAATATGTGGAGGTCCCTCACAAACATAATCAACATGTGGAGGTTCGGACGTCAGAAAACATTGTAAAATGCATCGTTTCTGAAGGGTGGACTGATGAAATCGTTGTGTTTAGAATGTTTTTTTGTTTCGGAGGTCAAAAAGCATTGTACAAAACAGCGGTTTGAAGCTCGGATTGGTGAAAACAGAATGTTTTACAATGCTTTGTTGATTCGGGTGTCAGAAAGACATTGCAAAACACACTGTTTTTGGATGGGTGACTGTTGAAACGCTGTGTTTTACAATGTTTTTCTGTTTCGGGGGTTAGCAAACATTGTAAAACACAGTGTGTTGAAGCTCGGATTGCTGAACACATTGTGTTTTGCAGTGTTTGTTGATTCGGGTGTCAGAAAACATTGTAAAACACAATGCTTTTGGATGGGTGACTGTTGAAACGTTGTTTTTTGTAATGTGTTTTTGTTTCGGGGGTTAAAAAACATTGTAAAGCAATGTGTTTTGAAGCTCGGATTTGTGAACACATTGTGTTTTACAATGTTTTGTTGGTTCGGGTGTCAGAAAACATTGTGAAACATATTGTTTTTGGACGGAGGGCTGTTTAAACGTTGTGTTTCACAATGCTTTTTTGTTTCGGGCGTTAGAAAACATTGTAAAGCACAATGTTTTGGATGTCGGACTGAAGAAAACACTGTGTTTTACTATGTTTTGTTTTTATTGTTGCATGTCGAAAAACATTGGAAAACATTGGTTTTTGGTTGCGCGACTGCTGAAAAGGCTGTCTTTTAAATGTTTTTGATTTCAGAAGTAAATGAAACATTGTAAAATACAGCGATCCAGAGGTCGGAGGCACCCGACGGACGCCCCAGAAAAAGTTTTGAGGGGGGCCCAAAAACAAAAACAAGAAAATTCCCCAGAGGGCCTTTTTCTTGTTTTCGGGCCCCGCCCACCCGTCGCCCCCCCCCCCCCAAAAAAAAAAATCGGCCCTCGGGCGATTTTTTTTTTTTTTTTGGGGGGGGGTCCCTCACAACTTTTTCTGGTCTCCTTTCAAAAGGAATCCTTTTGAGAGCCGGAGGAGGGAGGAGGGAGGACGGAGGAGGAGGAGGAGGAGGAGGTGGAGGAGGAGGAGGAGGAACAGGGGGAGGAGGAGGAGGAGGAGGAGGAGGGGGAGGAGGAGGAGGAGGAGGAGGAGCAGTAGCAGCAGGAGCACGCGGAGTTGGAGGAGGAGGCGGAGGAGGAGGAGGAAGAGGAGGAGAGAGAGAGAGAGAAAGAGAGAAACAGCGAGAGAGAGAGAGAGAGAGAGAAAAAGAAAGAAAGAAAAGAGAGAAACAGAGAGAGGAGGGAAGACAGAGAGAGAGAGAGAGACAAATAACCAAACAACAAAGGAAATCAACAGAAAAAGGGCGGGAACGTTGAGTCAAGGAGTCGCCCCAAAGGTCCCCAAGAAGCCCAAGGAAGCTTCGAAGATGACTCCAAGAGGCTTCCAGCAAACTCCCAGAAAGCCCCAAGAGTGCCTCTAGAGGCTCCCAAGATGCTTCCTCCTCCTCCTCCTCCTGATCTTCCCCGCCATACTCCCCCACGTGTTCCCCGAAGGGTTTCTAAAACGGCGGGGGGAACACATGGTCCGATAGCTTGGCGGAGCTGTTGCCATAACGCTCGGCCGCATGGGCGATTCCATAAGGCAGGGGGCGGCGGTGATTCGCCGTAGGTGTCTTCGATAACGGTCCAGAAAAAATACAATACAGCTTCAATTTGTCGACCTCGATCTTCGATTGTGGTGATGGGTTCCGAACGGGTCGGCGACCCTTCAGCTCCAAATCCCAAATGCCCCTTGCGGGGAAGGTGCTTCAACTCATCGTTCTTTTCTGAAAAGGAGGTCAACACCCTGCCACACTTGCCCTAATCCCCTCCAAACTTGCCCATCTCTACAAGGGTTCACAACAAAAGAAAACGATTTCCGATACCACCAAGATCCTCTTCTGAGCTTCCTTGAACTCCCGCATCACCTTGTCAAAGTTCACCTGATTCTGGCTTCGGAAACAGAGCTCCCTGACGAAAAGCCTGTTGCCCTTCACGACTGGGTAGTCGGCTTCAGTCTTTCCCTGCTTCGCATTTTCCAGCAGGCACGGTATAACAAAGAACACATAATGACTGACCAATTACCCACCTGATGCAACATCCACTGTCGACTTCGAAGAAGCCGCCCGAACGCCAACTCACAGCCGCGCATGACACCCGACCCCGGTCCGATGAATCACATGCCTTGGCGGTCGGATTCCTTCGAGGACTGCATCTCCGATGGGGGAGGAAGGGGAGAAGAGCGATGGAGAGCATCAGTGTCTGTCGGGAGGATGACGGTCCCGCCAGAAAGCCAGCGGCGCGATGTGAGGATTCGCAGGGGCCCCAGAGCCCGCGCCGCGGCCGGCAACGTCTCGTCCCCGCGGTCATGTGGTCTCCCACTGGGCGCGGACTCAAGGGCCCGAGGAGCTCGGACGTTGGGAGGGCTGTCTCCCGTCTCTGCGCAACACCAGGCTCTCATATCCGCGCTTGCCCCGAGACGTCCTATGCCAATCGCTGCTTTTCCTGGTGTCTTGGTGTTCGCTATCTTGGCGAGCGCACTTCTGAAACAACCAAAGGCTGGGCAGCCGTGCGTGCAGCCGCGTGGAGTAGCACTGTGCTCAAATGCCTTGGATTGGTGTGGGAGTGCCCAGGGGACCAGAACTGCTCTTACTGCGGGCGCAGCGCCCCCAAGCCTCAGCCGTGTAGCGCGGCCGCACCTGCGTGTTGGGGGCAAGGGCAGCGAAATCAAGGACCAAGGGCAAGGAGGACACGGACGACAGTGGCAAGTCACGGATCAGTCGAGCTGAACCGCCATAAGTTGGGGAGCAAAGCCTCGTTCCGTACACACCAGGTAG